CAGGCTCTGAGCCATCAGCCCAGAGCCCGACGCGGGGCTCGAACTCACGGACCGCGAGATCGTGACCTGGCTGAAGTTGGATGCTTAACCGACTGCGCCACCCAGGCGCCCCTTGCAATCTTTTTTAAAAGCTGTTTTAAGTTTATGTATTTTTTGGAGACAGAGAGTGGGAGAGGGGCAGAGAGAGAGAGAGAGAGAGAGAGAGAGAGAGAGGGAGAAACAGAGAATCCCAAGCAGGCTCTGCACTGTCAGCATGGAGCCTGATACAGGGCTCAAACTCACGAACCCATGAAATCACGACCTGAGCTGAAGCCAAGAGTCACATGCTTAGCCAAGTGAGCCACCTGGCTCTTCCTATAATCTTTATAATATTTGTAATCAAAATATATACTGGCAATGCTTATTTCCCATTTAATAAGTGATGCCCACTGTTTATTTACTTTAATTGTGTAAAAGAAAAGAGTTTATTTTGAAGATCAAATTTATTTGAAAACATTAAAATGAGGCTATGATATAGCATCAAAAATACACAAAAAGAGCTTTATGATACTTAGAATTCTTTCATTTTGCATCTAGAAAAGGCAAGTGATTTTTTTTAAGTACTGTGTTTTGTTTCTAAATGGCAAAATTTTCAAAGTACTAATTTTAAATACTTCTTATATAATTAGCAGGGTGGGGAGTTTTTCTTCACAAAAATGCAAAGCCAAGTTAGAGAAAACTGCCACTATAATTTATCTTTTTAAACATATTTTAAGGTACTAGAGACATCTTGGTGGATTACATTTAAAAAAACCCAAAATGATTATATCTTAAGTGTGATAAAAATCACCTTCAGACAAATTTACAGAAGTATCATGCACTTCAGTAACTTATAAACCTTATGCTGCAGTCTCAAAGCAACCCTTATGAGTATAAATTAAACAACTTATGACTAAGAATAAGAGCAATTTATTTTTTTTTTTAATTTTTTTTTTAACATTTATTTTTTTGGGACAGAGAGAGACAGAGCATGAACGGGGGAGGGGCAGAGAGAGAGGGAGACACAGAATCAGAAACAGGCTCCAGGCTCTGAGCCATCAGCCCAGAGCCCGACGCGGGGCTCGAACTCGCGGACCGCGAGATCGTGACCTGGCTGAAGTCGGACGCTTAACCGACTGCGCCACCCAGGCGCCCCAATAAGAGCAATTTAAATTGCATTGTAGTTAAAACCATAACACAACTAAAGGTGGTTGACTGAGTGATTGACTCATGAGTATATACATTGGTCTCCACTAACATGTGGTACCAACTGGGAAACTCTCAAACTCGTATTTTAAAAAATTAATAACCTTTTAGATTGATTTTAAAAAAAGAAACATGGAAAGAAAGATCATTACCACCTTGGGTGATGATACCAATCCCCTGAAAGAACTCTGAGACACCCAAAAACTGAGAATCTGCTTGTGGCAAAGCCCTGTTTGATGGAACATGGTAGAAGACCAGATTTGTCCCAGGGCACACAATAAACAATTAATGTGACTTCAGTTCTTTTTAGACATCATTCATACGACACTTTACCTTCCCATTTCTAACAGCTTCTTTCATTTGGCTTAACGCATTTGAAATAAAAATATATTGGACACGATTAAGACAGTTGTCTTAAGTGGTAGTAAATTTGCTTTTAACAATCACAAAATACATGTCATTTTTAAGTTTTTAAAGTACACAGAACTCTGAAGACACCAGATACTATTTTGCTTATTTCCCTGTTTTATTTCAAGTCTATAAATCTAAGCTTCTCAATGTATTGTGAATTCCATTAAGTCAAGGGTCTTCAGCAAATTTAATACAGAAACACTTACAGTACCAAAATTTTTAAAGAGTAAGCCTAAGAAGCAATTTGAGAGTTGCTTCCTTTCCTTTATCTGTAACTGAGGAAAAAACTAATAATAGCAAAGAAGTTAAAAAACAGATATAGGACTTGGATAATTTTCTAATTAATCATAATCACCTAAATGTGTTTCGCTAAACAAAATTGTTTTTGGTTCTGTTAAAATGTTCCCTTCTCCAAGTTGCCCCACCTAATTCTTTGAGCATTGCTTCTAAGCCCAATGTTCCTGTTAAAACAGTAAGACAAGGTGTTGCTGGCCTAGAGCTATTATTAACCTCAAAGAAGTATTAATTTTGATAACAATCACCTAGAATAATCCTTACCTTGCCTCTATATTATCACAGTAATACCTATGTCTTAGGATGAGTTCACTGGGGACAAAGCCTAATAAGATTTGGATATGATATATTGAAGGAATGTTCTCAGCAGAAAGGGAGGAAGGGAGACAGGATAGGGAAAAGCTAAACACAGATTTGGTCTCAACTGGAGTCTGGCCAAGCCTAATCCCTTCTGCAGCTCTTGAGCATGAACTACACCAAAAAATGTGGCCCACCTTAAGACAAGGGCCCAGCCTTTTTATTTCCACCCCAGTTGGTCACTGGTATGGGGAAGGGGAGACATAACATCCAGGGCTTCCTTTCAGTTGAGGGCAATTCCCTGGGGAAGTGGATTGTTGGGAACTGCTATTCTGGGAACACTCACAGAATCTGGGAGATGCCTGCACTGGCCCATTAAAAAGGATCTGGGTAGGATATCAATAGTATCCACCACATCTTGGCATCACATCTTCTTTCTTGGCTACCACCTAGAAACTATGAAGAAGGAAAAAAATGAAATAACAGAAATGTACCAGTTTTACATAAGCATAGTAAATAAAGGAAAAACCACCTATGTTTGGAGCTTTGCAGTTGTGAAAGGCATAGACGACAAAAAAAAAAAAAATGTATTTTCTTACAGGATATAGTTGCCATGAGCTTTATTTTCATTCAACACTCCAAGGATCCTAGGAAGAATGTCCTCAGCTAAATCTGACACTTTTCCATTCAACATTTTTTCAATCCCAATTAGGAAGATTACTAAATATGCTGTCCCATAGGTACAGGAAAGACCTTTTACTCTTGGAATCCTAGACAAAACTAGAAGACTGTAAGTATTTTCTATTATGGAAATTTCATATCTTTACTGGTTTAATATAAACTATAGTAACATATAACAAAGAAAAAAATCAATATTTTATTTAGCTCTGAGGTATAACATAAAATATATAAAGTTTGAAAAATGTTTAACACAAAATACCATTTGCAAAGCACAAAAGTTAATGAAATATTCTAAAATGGTAGCAAAAATGTATAAAGTTCTTTTCTTTTCTTTAAAATTTTTTTTTAATGTTTATTTATTTTTGCGACAGAGAGAAACACAGCATGAGCAGGGAAGGGGCAGAGAGAGAGGGAGACACAGAATGTGAAGCAGGCTCCAGGCTCTGAGCTGTCAGCACAGAGCCCGACGCAGGGCTCGAACTAACGAACTGTGAGATCATGACCTGAGCCGAAGTCAGACGCTTAACCGACTAAGCCACCCAGGCGCCCCTATAAAGTTCTTTTCTTACATTAACTGTTTTAAATCCCCAAAAGTAGAAATTAAGAAATAATCTTTAAAGAGCTACCACTTAATGGTCATTTTGTTTTCATGTCTAGAAAACAAAAAATGTGTGATATTAATGAGTTTTAGCGTATAATGTATTTAATTGTTTTTCAGAACCTATGAAACTACCCTTAAGCTATGACAATTCGTATTCCTGTATGACTTGACAAAAACAGAGTGAAGAGAATCCAGATAGGCATAACTCCATGAGACAAAACCTAGCTGGTAAAAAAAAAATACTTTGTTTTATGGTCTGTGAAGAGATGAGGGAAATTACTGGCCTGTACCCCCATTCTTATTAAGGGGATGCATGAGGTGTTGTGGATATTACCAGTATTTAACTCACTTATAAAATAAAAATCAAATACAGATTCATCACCACCTATTTTGTATAGAAAGTGTAATTGAAATGCTTTGATAAGAAAAAGGATGTCAATCATTGTAAGCAATGATGGCAAGAGATGCCTTGAAGGGAAACGAAACGTACCTGGTGAGGCTTGGATATGTGTTTCCAGGTAGACAGCCATTGCTTTTTCCTGGTTCTTCCCATAGACATACCCTCTAAAACTCAGAATGAAGCTAATGGGCAAGATAGAAGTCAGTCATTGATATCTTATTTAGCATTAAAGCATCAGAGGCAGAAATTAGAAGGTTATAACAAAATAGCAACCCTGCATATCCTCTAACTTTAAAAAACTCACCATCCCACTAAATAAATTCACGTTATTGAAAAACAACAAATGAAAATTTAAGACAGAAAGCAAAGAGTATATACTTTAGAAAAATCTTTAATGTGTTGTTTGGAACAATTCTATGAAACTTAAATATGTAATTATATTTTCTATTAACCCATTTCATTGTTAAATTCTTCATTCGGGGCTCAAAGGTTCTAGGATTATGAGTGATGCCAAAAATTCTAAGAAAATCTTACCAAGTCATAGCCAGTTATAAAATTTCATGTTTCTATTTTTTTTAAAAAATGTCTTCAGCATTTGGACAACGGAAGGAATGCTACATAGTGATGACCTTTTTATTTTTATTTGTATTTTGTTGGCAGTTCAGTTCAGTTGGGTTCAACATTTATTGAGCACCTACTATGTACCAGGCACTGTACTAGATGCTGGAGACACAAAGATGAATAAGACATGGTCCCTGTCCCCAAGGAGCTTACGGTCTCTTGGAGGCAAACAGGTAGTGCAAAGACATAGAGTTTATTCTAAAGTGGACGAAAATGTCAGTAATGTAATAATACTGGGCCTTTAAATACAATGGCATGTCATTGTTTATAATGTCAAGGCAGATAATCAAGATGAAGACCATTTTCATGTGATAAAGCAGTAAAATCATTAAGACCTAACTTTTAAAGATTCACATGATAAAGGCAGTTAAAACTAAAAATTTACACCACAGTTTTTCAAGTATTTCATACTTAGAAATATTATTGCCCACATTTGTGCTATAGTCAAAGCCATTATTCCAGGTTACTGAATCATTCACATCTCAGCATGCTAGGATTCAGTTTCTCACTGAGTTTATGAATCAGAACGGCTAATTCCTCAGTTGCTTGGCTCTTGTCCTCTAAAAGTTCATAACGAAGGCTGGAGATATCTTGTTTGATTTCTTTTAATTCACCTATAGTATTTGTATTAAAAAAAAACATATCATGGGTAATTTGCTCTTTGGATTTAGAAAAGAACAAAGAATGAATTCATACAATATGAACACATTTGCTTCATAAAGTCCAAGGTACTTTTTTCAATTTTTTTTCCTTCAAGATATTTAAGAAATATTAATCTTTAAAAATATACTGATCTTTGACAAAAGCTATAAAAATAGTCCAGCTATGTTTTCAGTAGTAGAACTCAAAGTGTTGTTCTGGGGCTCAATCACCTCTTAACACAGGGTGATTTTTCTGTTAACTGATCTGCAATCGGGGTATCTCCATCCTGTCTATAGAGGGTCCCTTTGGTTCCCTCAGACCCATAAGGGTTGAAACCTATGTGGATTATCCCCGTTTGCTAGGATGGAAGAGAACCCTAGCAAAATGCAACTTAATTAAAGCTTAGTCAATCTATTTAACAGGCAAATACTCATATGAAAAACTAAATTTTATGTCAAGTTTGAGGAGTTGGGAAGAACATAAAGTGATTATTAAGGAAGGCAGTGGTAATGAACTTGGAGCCAAGGAAGGGTTTGTAAGACACAGAGAACCAATGTATAAGGAAGTAACAAGCAACGGTGAAATTAAGTTTAGATGTGAAACCACTAGCAATGTGTACATACATAAGAAACTCCATAGGAGACTTTTGGCTATTAAAACACAACTATACCCATAATTAAGCTTGGCAGTATTTTGATCATATGTAGACTGCAATTAAAAACTGGATTCTCTTGCAAATGATTATCATGTAGATAAGCCATTGACGTCGAAAGGTGAACTTTGGGGCAGAAATTTATCTTGAATCTATAAGAAGTGATTCTTCAAATCATTGGTATTTCAACAGCTTTTTATAATAGAATCACATGTAAAACATACCTTTAATGATATTCCCTGCTACCTTTATCATGGTTTAAAGTATAATTTCTATGTTCTTATATATATGAAAGTCAGAACCTCTTTATGTTAAGGAATTCTATTTTTTAGGACTACACATAAAACATTTTCAGATTCATTTTGTTTAGGCCAAAAAAAAAAAAAAAGTGCTTCTTCCTTTCCCATTTGGCAATATGATCTAATTTGAAATCACAAGGCCAGTCTTTGATGAAATAAGTAGATTTTCACTCCATTAAGTATTACATTTGGACTATAAACCCAGTGGATCTCCTTTTGCATGCCTACTGCCATATCCTCCTTCCTTGTTTTTGACTTATGGGGAAACTATACTTTTATTTTATTTTATTTTATTGAGAGAGAGCGAGAGAGAGAGAAAGAACGAGAGAGAGCAGGGGAGGGACAGAAGAAGGGGATGAGAGAGAACCTTAAGCAGATCTCATTCCCAGCACAGAGCCCAAAGCAGGGCTCAATCTCACAACCATGGGACCATGACCAGAGCCAACATCAAGAGTTGGATGCTTAACCAGCTGAGCCACTCAGGTGCCCCAGAAGACTATACATTAAGTGTTACATGTAGTCTGCCAATACAGCAAACACAAATTACTCAGCCTCTTCAGACTTCAGTCCCTTCATTTATTAATGAAGCTGTTAAACTGTATGATAGTTTAATTCGAACTTTGTTCAAAACTCCAAATTCTCACTAACTCATTTTCCTCTTTGGTGCAAGGACTTGGAAGATGCTCCTTGGTTTTAATGCTTTCAGCCATCCAATTCCCCAGATCACTTTGTTTTTGTACCCCTTCCCCCCAGGGAGGTTATTGCACAAATGATCAGATTTCCACTTTCTAGACTACAACCCCTTTCCAATCCTATCTTCCTGAGACAATTTCTAGGGCATCATGATTGGATTTTTGCTGATCCTCAATCACACATTCATAGACTTCTTTTCTACATACATGTATCATTGGACTGACTCAGATTTTCAAGGGATTCCTTGTGCTCATCAAGTAATGGCTTCAAAACCCATCACCAGTTTTATTTAGTTTAGCCCTTTCTCTCTTATCAGCACAGATAGAGATCATCTGGTGGCATCTCACTGGTGTTGTAAGCTACAGTTTCCATTTTTAAGGCAACTTATTTCTCCAAGTTTGATTTTTTTTTTTTTTCCAACTCTGGGCCAGTGCTTTCACCCACTTAGCCTTTGGTGAAACATTTTTATAATCCAGACAGATGCCCTGCCTAGGATATATGGGAAAAATAGGCACCATTAAGGAAGGAGCCAAGAAGAAAAGTGAAAGGCAAAAGAGAAACACTAGATGAGAGCAAGATTTGTGTATAACAAAGCAAAGATTTTCCTGAAGAAATGTGGATTCTATTTGAGCCAAGCAGTCAATTATTTTATTGGAAAATAAATATTATTTTATTGGAAAAAGGTTAACACTCATGTGCACTCACTGAAAACAGAACTGAAACTACTGACTACCTTATATAATAGGGATTTAAAAGCTTCCAGAAAGATGGCAGGTTTTACATTCTAAGAATCAGGGCATTCTGAGAAGAGATAAATGGTCTCTGAATGACATTTTAAATAACCATTCCTTTAAAAAGATAATTTTAGAAATTAACATAAGATTCTCCTGTCAATCTTGGCACTATTACCTGAGATTGGATTTTTAAAGTATCCTTCAATAACAAGTTTCCCAAGTTCATCAAGTTAGTTGCAAAAGAATGTTTCTCAAGTTGGAGATGCTTACCTTCATTAACTTCATCATTTTCCTTGTCCACTTGTGCTTTCAGAACATATCGCTTTATAAGTCTTTTCATTATCTGCTGTTGATCAAAAAGAAATGATTATATCACCAATGATACATATAAGTAACCCAGATCCTATTCTCCAAAGAGTCGCACATTACCTGTAAAGCAAACACAACTTAGGAGAGAGAGATTTTATATAACTATTTACAGAAGATTCACCCAGATTCCACAACTTAATGGTTTTTCACCTTCTACTGAGACTTACTGCATAATCCACAAACATTCTCCCATATCCCTAGGAATGGAAGATGCTATATAAAAAAAAAGTTAAGTTGGAAGATTTCAATTCATGGTTTCTCTTTCAACTGATGATTTCTCTTTAAGATGTGCTGATACTATATTATCACCTATACTACCTTATTTTCTCACTGTCAAATATATGTTCGACAGAGAAAAATTGGAAAATACAGAAAAGAACAAAAGAAATAAACAAAAATCATCAATTGTTCTACTATCCAAAGATAATCATTGTTGTTATTTTGGTGTATGTCTCTTTAAATTCTGTATACATACTAATTACCACATGTATATTTTATATTTTCTAAATACCATATATTCTATTATATTGTGTGCTTTCCTCTCATAGCAATATATATTTTGAGTATATTTCAATCTAAATAAATTCTCTTACAGGATAATTGTTTACCCATAATAAGAAAATAAAATTGGAGCCCTACTTCATACCATGTACACAAAAATTAATTCCAGATGCACCTTAAATGTGAAAGACAAAGCTTTTAAATCCTTTAAAATAAAGCATAAGAAAATATATTTATAAATTCAGTGTAGATCTGGGTGTTTTTAAAACAAGATTTAAAAATTCCAAGTATAATAGAAGAGACTGATAAATTCAACTTTATTAAAATTAAAACTTCATTAAAAGTTCTGTTTATAAAGATACTATAAAAAAAGTAAAAAAGAAAGTCACAAGCTGAAAGAAAATATTGGTAATACCTATAACTGATAAAGAATTAAATTTGGATCTAAAATATGTGACTTTGAGTAAGAAAAACTCAAATAACCCAATAGAAAAAAGAGCAAAGACAAACAGACATTGCACAGAAATGGAAACAAGAATGGTCAGTAGGCCTATAAAACAATTTCAAATTCTTTTCTTGTGGAAATACAAATTACAATTAAAAGGAGACACAATTACACATCTGCACAGGGAAAAGATTAATACATCTCATAATGCCAAATGTTGGAAAGAATATGCATCAATGGGGACTTTTACACTTTACTGGCATGAGTATAGATAGACCATTTGGAAAAGCAATTTGGCATTATCTTTTAAAGCTGAATACTCACATACCCTTTCACCCAGAAAGTCCACTCTTTGATACAGAGCCTGGAAAAACTTTACACATGTGGACCAAGAGACATAAACAAAAATGTTTATAGCAATCTTGTCCAAAATAGCAAATAAAAGTCTGGAAACAGTCTAAACAAACATCAACAGAAGAATAGACAAATGGTGGTATGTTACACAATGTAATGTCATTGTGTTCACTAACGAAATTAAATAATGAAATTACCCATAGCCACACACAGCAGTATGGATGAATCTTAGAAGCATAAATGTTGAATGAAAAATTCAATTTGCAGACTTCACAAAGTATGAAACTATTCTTAAAAAGCTCAAGAACAAGTATATCTATATAATGCTTGGTAGGAATATTTGCATTATGTAGCAAGTCTATATTTGAAAAGAAAACAAAAGCAAGAGGCTGAGAAACCCAAACTTCAAGTTAGTGATTACCTCTTAGGTGGAGGCAAGGGGCGGGACAGAGAGAAGCAACAAAGTAGAGGCCATGGATAGATAATGTTATCATTCTCAGGCAGGTGGTAGTTTCCATAGGTGTACATGTAATTTTAACTTATTATGTGTTATACACATTCTTGTGCATATATCAAATATCACATTAAAAAATAAAGAGGGGGAAGGCCTGAACTGAAATGAAAATATAGTAGGAATAGAAAATCTGTCTTAATTTTTAGGAAGTGGAAATTATGAACCTAAGTGACCCATTAGATGCCAAGCTCAAGAAAAGGATAAATCTAGGAATATTCACAATGTCTGTCTCAAAGAACAACAGATCAAGAGAGAGCCTATGTTATTGAAAAGGAAAAATCCATTTTACCAATCACAGTAAAATATAAAACCTATTGAAATCTGTGAATGTAGACTTTAGGGCAGACTCATAGCCACGTGGATCTTGGCCTGGATTTGCTCATTCCTTCACCAAACATTTATTGAGAGCCAACTCTGTGCCAGGTACTGTACTAAATGCTAGGCATGCAATAGGGAACACAACTCCTACTAATAAAGTTTCAATGGAACAATTCACTATGATGGGTGAACATATCAGGGATCTAATTTAGTTTAGGGGACAGCAGAGTTGATTCCTATAAAAAGAAAATACAAAGAAATGTGTATCAGTTAAAAGCAGCTTGAAAGGTGGTAATACAAATCAGCAGGAAAGAAAAGACTATTCAACAAATAGTATTGAGACAAGAACTATCCTTATGGGAAAATTAAAATTAGATCTCTACACCTCATACACTATAAACAAAAAAGTTTTTAAAGAGTCAAATAGACAAAAGATCTAAATGTGAAAAGCAAAATTTTGAAAAGAATAGGGAAATAGTTATCGAAAAAGCTAAAGGAAGGGCATCTGGGTGTCTCAGTTGGTTGAGTATCTGACTCTTGATTTCAGCTCAGAACATGATCTCATGGTTCGTGGGTTCAAGCCCCGTGTAGGGCTCTGCACTGACAGTGCGGTGCCTGCTTGGGATTCTCTCTATCCCTCTCTCTCTCTGCCCTTCCCCTCTTATGCTCTCTCTCTTGAAATAAGTAAATAAACTTAAAATAAAATGGAAAAAGCTAAAAGAAAGGATGAGCTATAAGGAAAAGATTAATAAATCTGACTATATTAAGACATTTAAAAACTTTTATGCAAGAAAATACCAATGAAATGCAACCTTATGTCAAATGGTATTTTTCCAGTTGTCCTGGAATTGTTGATAAATCCAAAACTGATGAGAAGGGATACTAAGTACTCCATGGTCTAAGACCAAGCTGTCACTAGCAATTGGGACCAGCCACCTCTCATTAAGACTTACTGAGAATTGCTAGACCAGTACTTACCACCAACTTCCTTCTCACCCCACATAAGTAAGAGGACAGAGACATGGGAGGGATCATGGACTTCTGGAGAGGTTATTCTTTTTCCTGGGTGGAAGGGAGGTGGTACACCTCCACTTCCCAGAAGCCAAGGAGAGGGGTGGAAAGCCAAGGCAATCACTCATAAAGATTAGAGTTGCCTAAACAAAAGGCCTGGTATCTTGCTTCCAATTAAATGTCTATTCTGGCAAACTTGCTGACCTGCTCCTGGCAATTAAGTCAGGGGGAAAAAAGAACTGAGATGAGAGAGAAACAGCCTTTGGGTCAACCTGTATTCTCATTATTTGGCAAAAGGATAAATTTCCACTATCTTGGGTGGAAGGCAAGAAGACATCTCAGTGGGAAAGGATTCAATAAATGGGGCTGGGATGATGCGCTATCCTTTTGGAAAAGGTGAAAATTAGATGTGAACCTTAAATCAGAGTCAGATCTCTGCTTCAGGAGCTGTGCAAAAGGAAAGTAGCTTACATGGCCTTTTCAAACCCTCTAAACATGCCCCCAACCCAGTTAGAGAGAGGCAGCACATGGGTGTCTGCCACAGTCAGGATGTTAAAACTTGGTCAACATTAGAGCAGTAGTGACCAACAAGAAAGAAACTTCACCACAGTGAGCTCAAATGAAAAGATGCCTGCCCTCTGGCTTCTTCTTCCCATTCCACATAGCAGAGGATTAGCACCTTGATGAGCTAGCAAGGGGAGATATGTACAAAGTAGACCACAGCCTTTCTCCACTAGAGACATGGAAACGTTTAGCTTATGCTAAGAAAAATAAGGAGAAGAAGAGCTTTAGATTTGATTTGAAGATTTATACATCAAAATAAACTTAACTGTCTCTTTAATTACAAAAATGAGACTTTCTAATAACCAAGTCACTGGAATGTTCTGGAATCTTGACCAGATGTTGTAAAGGGATCCTCCATTCAATGGAAAAGAAGAGTTCAAAATAGGACAGTTAGTAGAAAATTATTGAAAACAAAGTCATTTTATATGGGTTAAGACTCCTTAATGAACCCATTACACAAAGTTAAAAGACAAACCAAAAAGTGAGAGAAGTTGTTGGCAAAACACATCAACAAAGAATCAGTAAGGAGAATATTACAGAATTTTGACAAGTCAGTAAGACAAATGGCAAAGTAGAATTAGGCAAAGGAATTCAAATTCACAAAAAAGGAAATCTGAATGACCAACAAACATAGGAAAAGATGTTCAATCTCACTAGTACTCAGAGAAGAGTAAATTAATAAATTCACACCTATGAGTTTAGCAAACACTTTTTCTCTTGAAAAAAATTCAAATCTAAAGAAAAGTTGAAAGTAAAATGAATTCACATATACCCTTCACCTAGATTCACCAATGTTAGAAATTTGCTACATTGCTTAATCTCACTCTCTGTATTATTATATTGCTAAAGCATTTGAAAATAATTCTGAGACATCATGTCCCTTTATCCCTAAATACATCAATGAGTATTCCCAAAGAACAAGAATATTCTCTTTTTTTTTTTTTTTTTAATTTTTTTTTTCAACGTTTATTTATTTTTGGGACAGAGAGAGACAGAGCATGAACGAGGGAGGGGCAGAGAGAGAGGGAGACACAGAATCGGAAACAGGCTCCAGGCTCCGAGCCATCAGCCCAGAGCCTGACGCGGGGCTCGAACTCACGGACCGTGAGATCGTGACCTGGCTGAAGTCGGACGCTTAACCGACTGCGCCACCCAGGCGCCCCAAGAATATTCTCTTATATAACCATGCTACAATGATCAAACTTCAAAAAAATTAACAAGGGAGAAAAAACCATTTAATACATAATCCAGACTTTGTTTCATTTTCCCA